CAATTCTTTCTTGGAAATATAATGAAGAAGAAATCTCTGACTTTCCCTCTCCTCTTACAGCCTTAGAAGAAAATTTTTAAGTTCTTCTCTCTCTCTCTCTCACGTCTCTCCCTCTTCTCTTGCCACCAAACCTCTCTTCAGCCCGTGACTCCCTCTCTTTTTAATTCGGGGTTTCCTTCTCTCAAAACTTCAAAAAAGAATTCAAAATTCCCCCCCCCCCCAAATTCTCTCCAAAAGCCACACCTTTTGAATCCCAAAAGACATGTCCATTCATTCAAGTGACATATCCCTTCATTAGAGAACCTTCCAAAGTGCTTAGATGCATTGAATCACTCTATGGGGCATTTGAAACATTTAAAGCCTTCAAAATCTACTAAAAATTTATCCTGAATTGCCTTAATTCATCAAGTATCGTCACTGATGCTTCAAGCTCCATGTTACTTAAGTCCACGCTGTTTTGGGCTCTGGCGCTTCTAACGCTTCAGGCCGATTCTAGCGTTTTAGGCACCATTTCTCTGTATAATGGCACTTCAGGCACTAGTTCTGGCGCTTCAGACGCCAACTCTCTAAAAAATGGCATTTCAGGCGCCAATTTGGTGCCAGAATCACAAAATTCTCTATTTTGGCTCCAAATTTCTTTCTTTTTTTTGCTTCTTTTGCTTCAAATTCCTAAAATTGATATACCTGCAATAAAAACATGAAAATACCCTTCTTTCAAGTGCAATATCACAAAAAATAAGCATAAAATATATAATTAAAATAACACATTATTTTGGTGTATCGCCCCTCAATTATATGTCGGAAGTCCTCAATTATATGTTGGAAGTCGAGATATTTGATGTCTGGGAATTATATTTCATTGGACTATTTATACCATCTTTCAGAAATTTATATATATTGTTAGAAGTAGTCTATGTATCCAAATTGAAGTAGTATATGTATCCAAATTGATTGTTATTTTACCTCGATGTGATGCTCAAAGTGTTGTAAAGTTTTTAAGAACGAACATATTTTATGGATTTGAGATGTCGAGAGTGATCATAATTGACAGGGAAAAGTCATTTTATAAATGCAATAATGTAGAAATTAGTAAAGAAAGAACATATCAACCATTGAATGACTACTGTTTATCATCTTTAGACAAGTGGTTTGGCTGAATTATCTAATCGTGAAATTAAAAGAATTTTGGAAAAAATTGTGAATACAAAAAAAAATAGATTGGTGAGTCAAACTTGATTATACTTTGTGGGGTTATAAGACTGCATATAGAGCTCCTATAGGAATGTTTCCATATAGGCTAATGTTTGAGAAAACTTGTCATTTACCAGCTGAACTTGAGCATAAAGCATATTGGGCTATTAAGGAAGTCAATTATAATTTAAAAGATGTTGGTGAGAAAAATCTATTACAATTAAATGAGCTTGAAGAAATAAGAAATAAATCTTATGAGAGTGCTAAGATTTATACAGAAAAGATGAAAGTGTGGCATGATCAGAGGATTCTTACTAAAAGTTTTAAGCCAAGGTAACAAGTTTTTCTATATAATGCAATATTAAGATTATTTTTAGAAAAACATAAGTATATTTGGATGAGCCCATTTATTGTGATAAAAGTGTATCCCTATGGAGCCGTCGATATCAAATATCCTAAAATTGAGAAAATATTCAAGGCGAATGGTCACAGACTGAAACTCTATTTTTTAGGGGATCAACTTAAATTAAATGATCTTATTTTGTTGGGTCAACCAGAATAAGAACTGATTACGTCGGGCTGATGATCCCGATTTTATATGACAATACGATGTATGCAGTTATGTTCTTAATTTTTCTTACTTATAATTCTTACTTTACAACGGTGTCAAAAACTTGATTACCAGCAATAATTAGGCAAATGCTTGACTTCAAAGCAAATAAGAATGCAATTATTATATTTAATTATGGGATACTACACAAATATATGTATCGTTATCAAGTAATATACGACTTTTTTATTAAGCCCCGAATATCGAACCCACAAGGAAAAAATACAATATGCAACTAAAATTAAAAGAAATTAGATAACAAATTTTACTTTGCAAAATATTCTTACTCAAACTATAGATGCTATAATATGAATGAAAGTTCGATTCTTTTTGTAATTTTTTATAATTAAAAGTAAAGAAAAATGAAGGTAATATAAATAAAATATCTTTTTCCTTATCATGAATCATTAACAAATATAGGAATTCTATTATGGAAGCATTCAAATTGTGTTGTGTCAAATATGAGCAATAATATTCATTACTCTTACTAGAGATGCTATAAAGAATATTGACTAATTTAAAATTTAAATAGTTATGAAGACGAGTTAGGTAGGGAAGATACTAGCTCTCACTCTAGAGTTCTATCTTTTCTCTCCACCTGTGGGCTTACATCTCGTATCAAAACCTAAAACTATAAACCAAATTGGGGGTTTTAGCCTGTCACTCTAAAGTCTTCTAATTCTACACCCTTTAAAGTTTATTTCCTTATTTATTTGCACTCAATCATATGAATCGCATTCTCATCCATACAATCTCATGTATTTCTTACCATTAGTTGACTGAGGCAATGCCATCTCAGATCATACACATTCTCACAAATTATATTAACATCTTAATTGGGTAAATCAAGAAGTAAATGAAGTGCAAGGTTTAAAATCATCACAACTTATTGCAACATTAAAGATTAATACTTCACACAACTTCCATCCAATACTTAACCACTTATCGTTTTAAGAAAAAAGATAAAGAAAACTACTCAAAATTTATGGAGAAAACACAACCACACTTAAGTTTGAAAGTAGAAATCATGTAAATAAATAAGAAATCTAAATTAAAACTAAATGTAGTCACAAAGATAAAAACTTATCTCAAATCCTCTCCACCAAAGTTTTGAAGTTCCTTTGAATCTTTTCTCTTCCTTTCCCTTACAATACTCTCTACTCACACACTACAACTCCTCTCTTCTCTCCAATAAAATATCCTATTAATCTATGAGAGAAGTGTTAGTGGCATGGCTATGGGGGGCGTGTAGGAGTCTCTTTAGTGCTCTGCAAGGAAGGCTGGAAGAAGTCTCTTCAATCCAATCCAGGTCCTTCTTTTATAATTTCCTAAAAGGTGTCTTGGTGTCTCTTCAAAATGTGTCCACATTCATGAATCTTTTAAGAGTTGCTTTATTTCAAAAACCAATTGAATGTATTTTCGTGTACCTTAACTATTTTCCACTCTTTCACCCAGAGTTGCTTCAAACTCCTCTTAAAAAATTTGTCCAAATTCGTTGAATCATCAAGAAACTACTTTTGGCGCTTGAGCGCAATGTACTTGGCGCTTAGACGCGAACTTCTCGATTTTATTGGTGTGTAAGCACCATTTCTGAGGGCTTAGGCACCACAATTCTTTTGCACAACTTCTTCATTTTTGCTCCAAATTTGATACTTTTGACTTCTTTCTTCATTTTTCATCCATTTGATTGTACCTGAAAGAAAAACACAAATACCTTTCATTAAAGAGCAATATCTAAAAAATAAGTATAAAAATACGTACATAAAGACTATATATTTAGGTGTATCAAAATCCCCCAAACTTAAAATGTTACTTGTCCTCAAGTAACACTTAAATCTTTCAAAACAAAAATAAGTAGATTATGTAAATGAGTTTCTTTAGGATATTCTAAAATTTTGATTTCGAAATATAGCAGTATAATTTTGAAAAAAAATATTAGTGCATGAGACCAACTTAGAGTTTAGAAATTCTTAATGTAAAGAAGTCTAAAACTATTAGTTTCTATCTAATTCAAAAACATTGTAAATTTTCCAAATATAAAGTATAGACATTCTATCTTCTCTACTTAAAAATTTTTATTAAGAATAATTATACTTACTTAATTATAACCTTAAGCTTAAGAGTTTCTCAAGTCTTATACTTTAAAAAAGATTAGATGTGGAACCAAGTTTTTTAATAAGAACTAATCCTGAAGCTTCTACTCCCTTTTTCAATTTTATTTTTCTTTTTATTTTTATTTTTCTTTCCTTTTTCTTTTTCTCTTTTTTTTTTCTTTTACTTTTTATTTTTCAGGTGAGGATTACTATATTTGGATAGACTTTTAATGATTTTGAATTTCACTCCTCCTTTTCTAAAGCAAAGTTACGATATAAATCTTTTATTTAAAAATATAATAATAATTTTGAAAATTATTTTTAATAAAAGAAATTTAAGCATTGAAAATAAAAGTCTAACCCTTCTAAATTTTTCAAAAATACAATATCTCCTACTAAAGATAGTTACACAATATTTATCATTTCTACACTAAAAATTTTTAACTTTAAGTTTTTCTTCATTACTATAGTTTTCAACTAAAGTCTCTTACTCATTTATATATTCAAAATTTTACTTTCATAATATAACTTCATATACATAATTATTTTTTTTTTCAAATTAAAATCAAATTTTTTTGTAGTACACTTGAGAACAAATAAATTTTAAGTTTTAGAAAAATTTTCACCCGCAAACTTAAATTCTTAATAAGATAAACATTTTAGCACCATATTTATATAGGCATGAATGAAAAGTAAAAATAACTTGCTTATAGAAATTTTACATCCTAAACATACAAGTACAAAAATTAAAAACATGAGTAAAAAATAATTGATCAAATTTTAATTTTTCTTTAATATATAGATATTCATTAGGCTTCTATGCAGTGAATGATAACATAAAAACAAACAAACACACTAACATAAATTTACAACTACAACATAAAGAAAATACCAGAAGAATTAAAAATTTTAAACATGAAATTTTTAAGTAAGAGTTAATAATATTCTAAAACTTCATAATTTCAGGATTAAGTTTAACACAGACTAACTAAATATACTAGACAACATAATTATCACAATTAGAATCACAAAAATAAATTATAACTACTCATAATAATATAAATACATCACACAAATATCTAACAAAATAAAACACAAATAAAACATAATCTTCGAATTTTCGAAATCCCTGCTAGGCATGCAAGTCTGATTTCACAAACTCCGTGGAGAACGGCAGAGCTCCTAAAACACCCAACCTCTTCTAGGGTTACAGGCGGTGGGCTAGATGTTCGATCGTGTCGCCGATGACGCCATCAGCCTCGTTCGTCGGCTGGCCAGGAACCTCAATCGCAAAGTTTCAGACGTCGTCGTCCTTCTCCTCAATCACAAGGTAATCCTCCCTATCCGGCCTCATCGATCTTGCTAACTTTCTAGGATGTGCCCCTTACACCTCCCCAACCTGTTTCACAGAACGCCGGCTCGTTGGGAGCTATCGCGGGGCTTGCGATCGCCGTAGTGTTCACATGGAAGTTTTTGAGGACCCCTCCGGGCCGGGAGCGGCGGCGCTCTCCTAAACGCAGTGCTTTGCCATCGGAGAACGGCAGCGTGTCCAGCGGAGTTGCTGCCGTGGATGAGGATACTTCTACTGTGCCGAATTTGAGGGATTCGGATGTGATTCAAGAGAACGGCTCTCCTAACGAGGTAGCATGACGGTTGCTACATCAATTTTTTTTTTTGTTCGGCAGAAGTTGCTACAATTCTTCTGCTTTATCTATTGATTTATTCTATTTTCTCATTTTTAGCTTCGCCTTGGACAAATCGTGAGGAAGAGGCTTGGTGGATGCCGAAAGGTACGTGGAGTGATTGATTTCGTCAACATGCTAAATTTTTTGGTTTTTATCAGATTTTGATGAGGGTATGCTGACCAAATTTTGTGCATGATGAATTCATACCAGTTGTATGTAGTTTTAGATGCACAATGCAAGTTTTAATGATTACTGCATTGATTCATCCCTAAGAAAGTATAAGAGTTTATAACTAATGCATACCCTTCGTATACACTTTGAGATCCTGCATATAGAATAAAGCCATTAATACTAAATTAAATCAAACTAAACAACCAAGTATTAATGCATTCTTTTTGAAAATTTAAATAGCTAAAACAGCGGTAAGTTTTAAATGGATATGTGTCTAATATCCAACACGGAAAAGAATCTACCAACCTTGATTGTCTTATATCATCTATTTTGGCCAAAGGAAATACTCCCTGGAAGAGTTGGAAGGTGATGGCCATCATTATGATTATTGTAGAATTGGTACATGCACAAGTACTGCAGTCTAGAACTGTGAAAGTGCCGGCATCCATCATGAGGAAACAGTGGTATTGTTAGCGATTGAAAAAATTGTGGAAGGTGGAGGCTTTGAAGCTATATGTTAGCACACTGTGAATTTGAGCAGTAACATGGATAAGAATCTCAAAACATTATGGCTATGGTAGTGGTGATAATATGAAGTTTGTCCGTATGAATGAAGAAGCAAACAATAATATAGAGAACTAAGGAGCTCCTTTATGACCATTTGAATAGCATGTGAAAATTCTGAACAAAGTCATACATTATGCAATAGTATAGTGAGCTTTTTTATGTTAGTTTTATGGTGGAATTGGTACAAAGATAGTCAATTGATTTAGTGGGAAACAATATAAGAGACTAAAAATGGTATGTATCTCTTTCATTAATTGTTCGAGAGAAGCAGCAATTATAGAAGGCTTCATAGACTTAGGAGCATTATTTACCAGTTTTTATAGTTTTCTATTTTAGCTCTAGATCAATGTTAATTGTAGGTTCGTCGTGGTCATCATCATCATAATATATCCGAACATATTGATATGCAAAACAAGGGTTTTATCTTTATAAATCTTCAATCGATTTTATCCAATTCTCTGAATAATCCTTTGAATCTATTGATTTATTAACCTACATTTTTAGCAAGATTTGCTGCTTTGGAACTTCAATCCTTTGTTTTGTAGAAGCACTTGTTGCTTTCTATTATATTGTGATTGATTTACTTAAACATCAACAATACAATTTGGAATATAAGTTGCTTATATCAATGGTGGAATGGTGGGGATCACTATTTATAATACATAATGCTTCTATTTTGAGATTGTGTGTAATATGAGTATCTTGTTGATTGATCATTATAATGCTCAGATCAAGGAGATCAATTATTATGCATTATGATTTTGATTATTATCAATCATCATAATAAGCAGGTTGAGAAGATCAATCATAGTATTTATGATAATATGATGAACATGATCATTCAACACATTTCTTATTAAGATTTGATGTAGTGGGTGTTGACCTCTCTTTTATTACCATGAGGTCTTATGAATCGGGATTGAGTTTTTGGTTCTATTATTCTTTACATGGGTTTGTCTTAGTCCATTATGGAGGGACTAATAGTCCATGACCTAGGGTGCACTTGGGTCCACTTTTCCTTTGCTTTATGGTTGAACCGCACCATGACATTCATATGGGTGCTCCGTTTCGTATGCATTTCTGAATCACAGTGTTCTCAAAACAAAGCTTTGAGATTGCATAATTATTGTTGGGGTCCACGTACTTCACCGCATCTTCATAATGTTTTTACCCTTAGAGCCCTTAGGGCATTCACTAGGCTTACGATCTCCACTCATTTCTTTATTCTCTTCTGTTGGTGGCTTCTTATCCCTTCCCATTTTTTTTTTCATTTTATTCTCTTGGTCACGTCCGACTGACATGTTTGCATCTCTTCTCCCTCACTTCGGTTGTTGGAGTCTGAGTATTTCCTTCCTCTTTCCAGGTTCTTCATTTTTTTTTGCATTTTCTGTTGAGGGTTGTTATGGTATTTTGAGCATAAATTGTATGACGTTTCTTTTTTCATTTGCTATGTGTTTCGAAGGAAATGAGGTTGCGTCGGTTGCAATTGTCAGTGATTTGTATTTTATTTGGTTTTCCTCTTTTATATCTGGAAGCTCTGTTGATAGGACAGGATGTCATGAGTTCTATGCTTGTGGGAGTTCTTGAATATCTTTTTATTTGCTGCTTGTGAAATTTCTGTTTTTTGCCAAAAAAGTGAAATTTCGATAGAGGCTTGGGGGATGTTTCTGGATTAATACATTCTCTGAAATTTCTTTGTTTCATTGTTGTTGTACATATTCATGTATAATTGGGCCCTATAGGGGGATTTTTCTAGTAACAGCTTGCAATTATGCTGTGATGTTCTAGTTTTCTGGATCTGTTTGTACTGAAGTGGGTAGGATAACAGGGCCTGAATTCGATTTTAGTTAGTGCTGAATTGTTTCTTTTATCAAATTTCTAATTAGGTCAGTACATCTTAACCAATTTTCTCTGAAATAAGTCCCTTATGTGTTTCAACTTTTCTTGTGGCATGCATCTATAACAAATTATCATCCTATGAAAGCTCCTAGCACATTAAATTACATCTTTCAACAATTTCAGATATGATGCATGTTTGGTTAATATTTTGTAGAAATTATGGATTTCACGATAGTTCCTTCAACTCTTTTGTGGAGTTAAGTTTCTTACCATTTAACTCTCAACCTTTGACACATTTAACCCCATTTCGCTTTTAATGTGAAATGAAATGATGTGGATATTTTGAGCCTTAACTTTGTTGCATCACTGAAATTGTTGTGGCATACACACTGAAATTTAGAGTATTTTGTCCACTAGATTTTTGGGTGATTTACGTACACACTGCACAATTTTACATTTATAACATGGAACATGGGATTACCATTTTGTTAGAGTAGATTTCTGTGCTACAGTATGTTGTTTAGTTGTTATTGCTCTCAAGGGAATCTTGGTAGATCTTACAATTATTGGTTCTTTATTGCTTACTTTTATCTTGGTATGGTGTTGATCAATTGTTGTTACCTATGATAAAATGTGACGCTGATCCATGGATGTATTATACGTTTCTATCCATATTTTGCAATGGATGACCGACTATCCTTCAACTTGCACAAAGTGATATTTTTAGTTTTAGGGCTATGATGCAACGAATGCACAGTCGGAGTAACACAGTTGAAATGGGGATGATTTTCCTCACTTGAGAACCTCTTGAGAGCTATTTTGATGAGGTTCATTATAATTTGCTTTATCTGCTCACCATATTTGTATGAATTTATTTATCCCTTGAAACTCTCTTGCCTTGGTGGAAGATGAATCCCCAATTGCTGTGAGAGCACCAATGCTGAACTTCTAATATGAGCCCTTGTTTTTCATTTATTTTCAGTTGTCAGCTTTGTTTAATATGTAAATCTTCTAATCTCATGAAACTTTCAATTCACCAAATTCACAAATAAACTACATGATCCATTTGAGTCTCTTTGTTTTATATATGACTGTGTAAAGTCAATTATATTGGGAAATTCAAGAGAGTTCAAAGTAAGCGGCTGAAAATGATTTTGGCGACCTATGTTTGAAGGAGGTGGAATTAGGCAATCGTCCAACTACTTACTTTAATAAAGAGGGTTGACATAATATTATCACATACTTCAAAGATGGAACTAGTAGAGAGTATAATAGAGCTCAACTAAAAAATAACTTAGATCAGCCAAAGAAGGATTAAAAATTATGGAAGGAGTTAAAATAATGATTAACTGGTTTGGGTTGGGATTTCACAAAAAAGACCATTTATGCATCATAAGAGTGGTGACGAGAGATGCTATAGGTAATCTTATTCATTTGCACATTTCGTTCTTATTATGTAGTAAGTATTCATTTGTACTTACATTATATATTTATGTTTGATAAATTAGAGATAGTGCCAAATGCTAAAAAGTTTAGATACTATGGGCATAGATCCTGAATTAGAGGAGAAGCTTGACTAGATGTTTGGTGGTGTCGTCACTACTGGTGCTTATGCATTTACTCAAACTACATACTAAACAGAGACGAGGTTATTATAATTCTAACCCTAAAGAGAGCTCAAATGACCTCATCGATGAATCATTGCATGGGGTTGATGATCACACTGAATCTAGTTATTCGAAGTGTAGCAATCAGAGAGTTTAAGAGGTTTGAAAAACAAAAGCGTGTTCTAGAGTTCTAATAAATCAGATTACAGAGTTGTTTACTGCTTGCACTTCAATGAAATCTACATCAAGTGCGCCTCATGCACCTCCATTTCTTTTAGAGGTTATTATTGTGCTACATCAGATCTCCAAAGTGTTCGATGACATTCTTTTTTATTGTCATTTTACGGAAGTGCTTGAAAATATTAATAAGAGGGAGATATTTATTGCTATTGTTTTTGAGCATAGGATTTTTTTTAAAACAAGGATGTGTAATATAATAAGAAGTTAAAAACTTTTTGCATGTTATTATACTTGGAAATGTTTTGTAATATTTTCTTGTATTATTTATTTTATTAACTATTGTTGTGTATTTTTTTGCTACTATTTAACTAGGAGCCATTAATATTTGACATGTTTTATGAATTATTTAATGTTTGCACTTATGGATAATAATTAGGGGAATCATTGTATGAAACTCATTTTCACAAGTATTTGCTTAATTCATGAGTACTATGATACCTATATTTGCAAGACTCCTTGTATGATGTCTTCATTAAGTGGGAGAAAGGGATAACTGAGTTACTTAAGGGCTATTTAGGAAGATTTCATAACATGTTCCATATTACACATCATTTTTTTAGATCTGTTGTAAGATCTATAAACTCATCACAACCTTCACGAGCACCCAGACAACAAGAGAAGTATTAACTATAATATTATATATTTTGTCGCATATAACGAATTTGAGTGTGAGAAGCGAGC